AGACTTTATTGGGGAGAAAAACCCAGCCTGGGCAAAGTGCCATGGTCCACAATGTCCGGGCCAAGGCAGTCGCACTCCAGACTACAGGAGTGTGTTTATATTGCTGGGGAACATGTGACTGGGCTGCCTTGAGTCCATATAAGGTAAAGTAGTCAGCGATTGGGAGATACAGGTATGTCTCGTTTCTGGAATGTAAGGTGTTTTCCTGGTTTTGGGTGTATTCGTGCTGGGTGCCGGGTGCAGGGCAGCGGGCCACGAGGAAAAGGAAAATAAACTTGCAAAGCTGCTGACAGGTTACATGAGCCAGCTTTAGTCAAGGTCACTCACTGCTAGTTGTTTCCGCCAGCTCTGGTCAGCTCCGCAAGGGTGGGGGGAGAGTCAAGGTCACTTGCTGCTAGGAGCCGGCCTGATATTGATCCAGCCAGGCAATTTTATTTGTGTAAGAGAGACAATAGAAATTTTTGTAGACATTGCATTAAGTGTGTATACACTTTGGGGAATATTACCATCTTAGAAAATATTAACTCTTCCAATTCACAAATGTGGAGTGCCTTTTCACTTATTTCCATTTTCTTAGGTCTTTGAGATTTTCTGAAAGCCGTATTTTGTAGTTTTCCAGTGTACAAGTGTTTTACCTCCTTCTGTTGGCGTTAGTCTTCATTATTTTATTCTTTTGGATGCTATTGTAAATGGAATTGCTTTTCATTTAAATTTTCAGAATGTTCTTAGCTGTGTATAAAAATACAACTGTGTGTCTGTGTGTACATTGAATTTATTCATTAACTCTTCATTTTTTTGCTCTTTTGGATTTTTTAAATGGATTTTTTATATATAAGATTATATACCATCTTCAAATAGAAAAGTTTACCTCTTTTTTTCCCCCAGTATGGATATTTTTTATACTTCTTTTCTTTCCTCTTTTCAATTTTTTTGCCTAAATGCCATGCCTACAACTTCCACTTCAATGCTGAATAATAGTGGTGAACGTGGGCATCCATGTCTTGTACCTGGTCTCAGGCGTAAAGTCTTTCCAAAAGTTC